TGGGTCAATTCAACTGTATGATCTTAGTTCACCCTCTGGAATCGTTCCATTTCGAACTGCTCCCCGGTGCCGATATATATTTCAGCTCGGGTGGTAGTAGGATCATGATAATTGCACGTCCTGAGCTATGACCAGTAGGGCGAGTACATGCGTCCATATCGACAAGATCCCCGATAGCATCTACATACACATCTTAATAGGCCAATAACCCATATGTCCGACACTATGCATCTCGAGTTCCTATTTATCGTGAACACAAGCCCCATCATGCGGGTATAGTATAGCCTTACAGAACCAAACCCCACGAAACATACTGCTGTGTATGAAGATAATGCATAAACTGGTAGAGTGCTATGCAATAACTTCAACAATATTCAACATCAACATATAATGTATCCATCAATTGTGCCTTCAAACATTCGCTGCTGTCGCACAAGGCTCCTGGCTTATTGCCCAAGGGATATAACGGAAAATAAACACGCTTTCTTCAACAAGAATCCGATATGGTGTAGTGGCTAACATCGCCGTCTCTCACACGGCAGCCGGGGGTTCGATTCCCCCTATCGGAGCTTAAACATTTCTTTTTGTTTTTTGCCCCCCTCCACCTACCACATCATCTTCCGCTTCAGATCAACCAGCTACATGCATCACTCAACAAGTATCATTATTCCTATCCCATGCCTGTCATTGATCCACAGCTATGTATCCCCAATCCACGTAGACCAAACCTACAAGGTCCCCAATCCCCAAGTACCTTGCAATCCATGAATCAATCAATCCAATTCCCCACCATAGAAACACACAATCACATGACCTCTTATCTATCTAATCAACACCCCGATAACCACCATCATCCAAATCCAAAAAAATTTCAGGCGCAGACCAGCACCAGCAGCAATCTTCCTTCCCTCCAACATAAATATCACCTCAATCTACACATACGTATAACGAGAAACAACTTCCAACAAACCCCTCAATAACAAATCCCTCCAATTCCTCCCCACCAACCACACAACCACCACCACACCCACCTCCGACCCCGCCCCACCATATCACAACCAAAATGGCCACCACCCAACAACCCCCCCAAACAGCAACCCAATACCTCGACCTGGGGATAACCCTCGCGATCAACGCCTGGCCCGCCCTCACATTGGCCGTGCAATCCAACTGGGGCGGCCCGACCTCCTCCGACAAGCGCGACTGGCTCTGCGGCGCTATCTCGGAGATGATCCAGGAGCGACCCGAAACGGACGCCGAGGATCTCGAGGACGTGCTTATTCAGGTGATGAACGATGAGTTCGATGTAGTGGTGGATGATGAGAGTGCGGGCATGGTTGCTGTGCAGATTATGGAGATGAAGGGGCAGACGGAGAAGGGCGAGTTCGGGGCTATTCAGGAGATGTGGGAGAAGTGGCAGAGTAAGAAGGGTGCTGCTTCGGGAATTGAGGGATTCAAGAGAGGGGAGGATCAGGAGGATGATGATGATAGTGAGGAGGATGAGGATGAGGATATGGAGATGGATGATGCGCCGGCGCCGGCGTTGGTGAGGGCGCCGAGGGAGAAGGTTGAGCCTGAGGTGGATGAGGATGGGTTTATGACTGTTGTTTCGAAGAAGAGGAGGTAAATCTCTGTTTTTTATCTTCTTTTCTTCTTTTAATGATGGGAATGTTTGTTCTTCATTGGTATTGTTAGAAGTTGTTTGTTGGTGCTGGTGCTGGTTGATTCCCCATAGAATAGACGCCTTATTTCATGTATTCTGGCTGTTTGTCTATGCTACAGCTGTGTGATTCATGCGCGCAGTGAATCTTTTTGACTATCCAAATCATGAAAAGCAGTAGAATGCGTGAAATGATAGCAATGAGAATTTTATTGCAAAACCAACAAGCAAGGGAATGCAAAATCTATAGGAAAGGAGCAAAGGAGCAAAAAAGAATAAAACGGAACATCAAAATTCATCATCATCAGCAACAACCAAACCAGGCTGCTATTGGGATATCATCACCGAGCCTTTTCCCACCCATTCCTCCCGGCCGACAGTCGTAGCTCGTTAAACATCGCCGTTGACCACCGTAGGGACTGCTATTTATAATGAAAAGACATTCACACTTTACGCCTGCGTCGCCGCCGCCTCTTCGGCAGAGATGAGCTTGGTAATCATACCAATGGCAACGGTTTGACCCTGATTTTGTATGTTAGCATTGTTATATGAATGGTATTTTGATAATGACTGCTTACCTGATCACGCAGAGTGAACCGACCCATCTGGTTGTAGTCCTCGAAGCGCTCGACACAAACGGCACCAGCAGTGCTCGTCACCTCGATACGAGCAATGATGGTCTGACCCTTGGCAGCGAAAGGAGGGGGACGCTTGCTGCGACGTCCAGTGCCGGGCTCGCACTTGTGCAGCAGTGCCGCAACAGTAACTTCTTCGACAGCAGAGTGCACGTGCATCACGCAGTTGTAACCAGCCGTGAGAATGCTCTTCAGGTCAAGAATTCTGATCTTGGCCTCGAAAGTCTTGACACAGTTCACCAGACGCTTGGGAGAGCAGAGCACGAATCCGGGCAGGATATCTTCCTCTTCCACACCACGGAGACGAAGACGGACCTGGTCACCGCAGGTACCGGTGGGGATTTCGTCCTCAGTCTCACCATAGAGCGCGGCAATTTCGACCTTGGTGCGGTTGGGCATCATGATACAGCTGCCGTTCTTCTTAAGCACACCGGACTCAATGCGACCCTCGACCATGGTACCCATGTCACGGTACTTGGCACTGATGGGCATCATGAAAGGTGCGTTGATCTTGCGCTCGGGCACCTTCATGTCCGACAGGAACTCCAAAAGGGACGGGCCGCCATACCAGGGAGCAAGGTCCGTGGGGACGCGGTCCTTGATACCCGTGGTCCTCTGGGCAGAGATGGGCATGAAGAAGAGATCGCTCTTCTTGTAGCCGAGGTTCTCCAAGAACTTGCCCACCTTGACGGTACATTCGTCGAAACGAGCCTTGCTCCACTCAACGGTAGGGTCGTCCATCTTGTTAACAGCGACGATAAGGGTCTTCACACCGGTGTTTCGTGCAAGCAGCGCGTGCTCACGAGTCTGACCACCCTTTTCGAAACCGGTTTCGTATTCACCCTTACGCGCGGAAATAACGAGGACACCGACATCGGCCTGGGAAGCACCACCAATCATGTGGTGGACGTAAGACTTGTGACCGGGAGCATCCAAAATGGAGAAGTGTCTCGTGATGGTGCTGCCGTCGGCGGCCTTGACGGGAAGCTGGAAGTGAGCACGGCCAACCTCAACAGTCTTACCCTTGGCACGTTCCTCGTTGGTCAAATCCAGGGCCCAAGAGAGGTACCAGGTCTCACGACCAGCCTCCTTGGCGTCCCTCTTGTACTTCTCCAAGGTACGCTCGTCCACCATACCGGTCACGTAAAGGATGGATCCACCCAGGGTAGACTTTCCGGCATCGACGTGGCCGATGAAGACAATGTTGACGTGCTCCTTCTTCTCACCATAGATTTCCTTCAGAGTAGCCTCATCGACATCGGCTTGTTGCTCCATGGCGACAGCGTCGGCGTTACGAGCAGCCTTGGCAGCCTCGCCGCGAGCAGGGCTGGATCTTCCAGGGCTAGAGCGACCCGAGGGGGTAGGGGACGACTTGCCGCTGGCGGCAGCCTTCGCATCGGCCTTCTTCTCAGTCTTCTCGATAGCCTTGGAAGCCGTCACCTTAGCGGCCGCCTCAACAGCGGCAGCACCCTTGGTATCTCCAGGTGTAGCGGCACCGGAGGTCGAAGAAGGCGTGCTCGAGGTGGGGGCGGGGGAGGGGGTGCCGATGGAAAGAACCTTGGTCTTGGGAGCGGCGGGGGAGTTGCTGGCACCGCCAATAGACAGGACCTTAGCCTTGGGGGGAGCAGCGTTGGATGCGGCGGGCTTCGGGGCGGGCTGAGCGGGCTGGGCGGCAGCGGGGGCGGCGGCAGCTTGACGGGGCTGCTGCTGCTGCTGCTGGTAGCCACCGTACTGCTGGTTGTAGACCTGGTTGTTGTTAAAGCCACCAGGCTGTTGAGCGTAGGCGCCGTATTGAGCGTAGGCCTGCTGTTGCTGGTCATAAGGGTATCCACCGTAGGCCTGCTGGCCGTACTGGCCATACTGCGGGTAACCGCCACCGTAGGGCTGGTAGGTCTGTCCAGGAACGAAGGAAGCAGCACCGGGGGTGAAAGTGGCAGCACCAGGGTGGAAAGAAGGAGCCTGGGGCTGAGGGCGACCTTGTGCGTTGGGGTTCAAACGAACGCCCTCAGTCTGTCTGGAGAGCTCATCCTCCCAGGAATCGGGGGTCTGGTCGGCCATGGTGTATGTGGGGAAGACGCTAAGAGAACGACAACAAGACAAACACCAAGCAAAGTCCCCGGTATATAAAAAAGGGACTGGTCTAAAAGAAGAAGAATAAGAGGGTGGGGGGGAGGAAGAAGAAGAGGAGGAGAGCGAACAATGAAAGGCAGAGAGCAACGCAGCGGCAAGTGAGGGGCGTTTTTCTTTGCGGAGGCTCTCATTTTCTCTTGTCCGCCTTTGAGTTGATTTTGCACCCCGCTGACTCAGCTGCGCCTCCCCGCCCCCGCGGCTGTGGCGTCTGGCGCGTCAAGGAACCAGCACGTGTTGTGTTTTGCATTGTTTGTCTCGTACTGTTTCTCCGCTGCGAAGAATGACTCCAACAATGACCTCGCGGGTCTGAAACGGGTCGTGTGTGAGAGAGAAAAGTGTGGAAGGTCTGCTGAATTACGCCCTTTTTTATCTATATGTTGGGATCCCCGTTGCTGGTGGCAGCCACAGTGGGTGGTCCGTTATCGATAAGCTCTGCAAACCGCCTCAGGGGCGCTACAGATCACTACTATTACTAGATCACATCAGCAGTCACCAAGCTCCATCTTGCTGGGTACACTCCCCTCAGCAGAATCACCCAGAGGAAAAGACTGAGGGAGGCCTGAATTCTAGGCACAATGGATGCTTTTCTTACGAGGGTGTGTTCGTGCTTATAGCCCCATTCTTAATGTCCTGAGTCTAATCGTGCATTAGCTCACGCAGCAGGCGATGAACTATGCCATTCGGTAAGGATCAGCTCCTCTATCTTACCTACTTTATCTGTTACAGCATTTTCTAACTCTGTAATCAGCTCAGGCATAGCTATCACTGCAAAATATGCCATCAGTCAATCGTCTCGCTTACTCAAAGTAAGTCAAGATTGGTCTGCTTCTACGGAATTTCGCGAAAGATCATAGCTGACCATTTGCGCTTCAATCCTTCAGAACGTTGACGATGGTGAAGAGAGGGAAGAGCTACTCACGCTTCAGCACCGACTGGAAAGCAAGATACAGGTCATTTCACCTGCCATTGATATGATTGAACTCATGTAAGTGAAGTCGGTTATGGAGGGACCCCACGATGTCTGAAATCTAACAGCTTCTAGTGCTGCAAGAGGCAATACGTCACTAGAGTCAGCCGTGTTTCTCACAAAATCTCTTCGCTGGGATATACAATCCCTTGGGCAGCGACTAGCAAAGACTGCTGCATCTGAAGAACTGTATCTTAGAGGGGCAAACCCCAAAAGAGACCGTTCCCAACACAAGGCGGAGATCAGGCTTATCATCAAAGATATCAAAAGACTTCTTGTTCGTATCGAGGATGCAGTACCGCTGATGAACTTGGCTATCACGACGTCGGGTGCTAAGCTATCGACAAACCTGCCATCGAGTGTGTCTCCATCCCGACTGCTGCAGGCAAGCACCTTCCTGACTGCTGGCGATACGCAATACTCTATGTACCCGTCTCAAGCGGTCCAGATCGGCCCCACATTTACTCTGTCTATGTACATGCTCTTTTCCAGCCACCTTCGGCCGCATGATGAAGAAGGTATCCGCGAAGCAACCTGGAAGGAAGTTATGCACAAGGCGCGTTTGAAGCTCCGCAGGGTGCCTATGGACCTAGCTGCAATTCCTCAGTCCGAAACACCACATTTCAAACTTCCTGCCGAAGCAAGGATGGACGAATTTGCCTACCAGGTGTTGATTATCGAAGATTTGGATGATGGCAGAGTCCATTCGTTTGACGAAAGTGAACCGCAACCTCACAGCTACGAAGGTGTCAGCACCGCAGGACTACGCGAAATTCTCCCAATCCACGAGATTTCCAAGATCTTCTATGCAGACACCGGCAAGATTTTAAATATAAACACTGAGGGAGAGACCAACAACCCTGTTCTCCTTCTGAAGAGAGACATCAATGCCATCCCACCCCGACGGATGGTCGAACGGGACGAAAGCTTGTCCGGCCTTACCCCCGAGGATCCCCAAGAGGACGACGAGGAGGAGTTCGACGAGATTCAAGCCCAGCTAGACGCCCAACTCAACGAGGCAAACACCAACCCCGGACTACCTAGTTTCCATAAAAGCTCCATCCCCGAGGAATGGCGACTCCCCAAAGACCTCGACCCCGAATGGATTGCATTCGAAGTCTACAACGAAGAAGAATCATCAGATTCCGAATCCGAAGCAGAAGAAGACCATACCTCGCCGTCCAGAGCAGGATCCATCGACCCCGAAAGGATGGCGAAGCTTTCTCTCCACGACAACACAGCTACGCCATCTCGCCGCAGCACCCCTTCTTCAACGCAGCGCATATCCACAGCCACCGTCTCAAACCCCCACTTCAACAACATCCGGACATCCCTATCCCTCTTAGAGACCCTTCTCCGCCTCACCTCCCTTCAACAATTTCAGCAACAATCCCACCTATCCATCAGCGACGAACTTCTCAACTTCTTCCTTGAGGAATCCTCAACCACCGGCGCCGGAGGCGACGAACAACACCGCCAACGGCTCCGCGCTGACGCAAGACGCAGAGTCGGCTGGGATCCGTATGACGAGAGCCCCGTCAAACGAAGAGGCGAGGACTATCAGTACGCATGGACCTCGGAGGGCACTCCGCTCAGATTCTCGCGCGAGACAAGCGAAATGCCCTACTCGCCTGGCGATAGCAGAACCAAAGGATTCCATCTACGGTCCCGAGAAAACACCCCCGAGACACCGCTACGGTACGGACGCTCCGCCTCTGTACAGTCGTCGGATCTGAAATCCCGTGGTGCTCGGCGCGGAGGACCATCGTCGGCTGTTCTTGCTAGTGAGAGGTCGAGGGGAGGGTCTCCTCTTTCTAGGAAGTCCACGCCGGGTCCTGTTGTGGAAGGCGTGGATGCTGATGCTGATGGTCCGTCGGAAGGATAGGTGGGTTGACCACATTATCAATATGAATATCAATATCAAGTGACGAACGTTACGACTACGACACCGATGCGATAAAAAGGGGTTATACATGGGAACATTATGAAGACTCTGTGAATAGACTTGCATATCAATAGATTACACGTTCTGCAATCCAGTCCCAAAACAGGAATATCTTTCAGAAACGCTTGTACCATATACCAATAGAGAAAAGGGGGTGAGGGTGGGAGGTAGGTGTATTTGGCACTGTCAGGGGAGAAAATAAAACAAGAAAGCCAAGGCAACACGCAACTGCTAATACCAAGAACATATCGCGTAGGGGGGATGGAAAAGGTGGAACGAACGACGATACTAGAAAAGAAGAAAGGAACAGAGTGGCAATCCTAACGCCTGAAGATATCAAACAAACGACACCGCAACTCCTCGCACCGCGATCAACTCATATGTAAGGGAAACAGGGAATCCTTTCTCTCTTTCGGACCAGCCAGTGGTCAGTCAATAATTTGGAGAAACTCTAGCAACTATACGACGCAGTCAAAACTTGTGCTTTACTCCAAGCAATCATCCCACCATTTACTCCCAGTCGTCATCGCTTTCCTCATCCTTGGCCTTCTCCTTGGGGCTGGCAGGAGTGCGGCTGGTCGCACCGCTGACGAGGTCGTAGCTGGATTCGCTGTCGGGCTGGGACTGTTGGTCGTTGGACCGGCGGGGTTCCGTGGGCTTCAGGGTATCCTTCTCGGTAGAAGTGGCAGTAGGGGTGGCAGTGGTAGCCTTGGTGGTCGCCGTAGACTGCTGGACTTGAGGCGTAGAGGGAGAGTCGGTGTCGTCATCGGAATCATCGTCCCACTTGACTTCTTCCTCGTCGACGTTGACATCTATAAGGCAAGTTAGAGATAAGAGCCATGGTATATATATGGTAGAGGGGAGATGAAGAAAAAGAGAAAAACATACCCTTGAGAAGCTCCTTCCGCTTCTGCTCCTCGGTTTCAATAACCAAACGCAAGAAGTAGTAACGACACCAGAAGACCGCGTATTCCACCTTCTCCGGGACAAGCTTCTCCATAGCGGAGCGCAGCTCCGGATACTTCTCCAAGTCGGCGGCAATAGCATCCGTCTTATTGTCCACGTTGAAAGACTGCTTGAAAGTAGGCCACTCCTCACTCACGGGGTCTTTCGAGAAACTCTCCAAGTTCGAATGAATGACATGAAGCTGCGCCTCGAACCGCGTAGCATGAATAACCCGCTTCCCGTCTGCATCCTTACTCTCAAATAGAAGCTTGTCCGACGACGAGTCCGTAGACGGCGGCACAATGCTGACCGCATCCTTCAACTTCTGTCCGATATTCATCCCAAAGCGCAGGATAGCTTCGTCGGCTGCTTCCTCAGCCTTCTCGATCTCTTTGAGTCGGCGGGCGGCCTCGGCCTTGAACCGCGAGAGGAACCCCTCATTATTGTTATCCGAGCTGGCAGAAGGTCCAGCCTTCTCCTTCTCTCCGGTCTCATTCTTAGGCGTAGATGACGATGTTTCCGTCTCCTGTTCAGTCGTAGTACTGGTACCAGCGCCGATGATATTATTGTTGAAAGCCGTGCTCAGGGACAACCCCCGCGTGCGCCCGACGATACTACTCTTCAGATCCGAGAACCCCTTGGCGGCTTCTTCGCTGGCGGCGGCGTATTCCTGGCGAGCTCCTTCGTAGTAGCTTTCGCCTTGTTTGCGAACATTGTCCCAGAGTCCACCGATGCGTGCACCCCAGGGACTTGCGGAGAAAGCGCGGAAGGTTTCCTGCAGTTCGGCGTTCAGGTCGACGTTGGGGCGGTCTGAGTTGGTGGCGGGTGCATCGGAGGGGTTGTTATTGTTCTTGCTGTTGTTTTCTTTCTTGGTGGGGTCGTTGGAGGAGAAGATCTCCTCCTGGATGTGGTCGTAGGCTACATCCATGACTGCGGGAGAGTTGGACAGAATCAGAGAGGGATATCAGATGAAGTTGAAGGGCATATCGTGGATTGGAATGAGGGATGCGGAGGATGTTCTGGTCAGTCAACTGGGCGGTTTCGTTCCCGGGGCTACGACGGCCCGACCGCCTACTCACTGACACCTCCCACGTGGTGAAGAACTACTACAACTAGGGACTTGAAACACTTGTGAGCGAGGGATATAATATATGATTGTTTGCTATATATGATCTAGTCTCATGGGGTATTTCGATGCCGTGTCTCATTAGTGTCGTGATATATCGGGCTGTCCCATCATGTAGAGTCTACGAGTCTGGTAAGCTGTAGGGTTCTCCAACGCTATCTTGGCTATCCATTAAGAAGGCCGGAAGTGGCACGCTTTCCATCACACTTGATGTGAGGATCTGGCTGCCAGTCAGAATTCCACGAGGACCGGAACTTTCCTCCTGATTCTTCTTGTGGAGTCGGTCTGCTGGCTGTGAAGACTCCACTTGTACCACGTCCCTTCGCGCAAGGGGCTCAGGGGGAATGAACTCCTTTGCTCGGATGCCGTTTCCTTGCCGCGCGATAGGTGAGGATTCCGGGACCATCTCCATTGGAGCCTTGGCGGCATTTTGTGCCTGGGTCTGGCTAACTGCTGGTATGCCAGGTTTGGACATTGCACGACTGTCCGTTCTAGGAGATGACGGCAGGGGTGACATGGTCCGGAGGGTTTGCTGGTCATTTGAATCTTCTGGAAACAGCTCAGCCAACTTCTGGGAGCTTAACGTCGGGATTGTACCAAGGGGAAATTGGGTAGCTGGCTGCAGCCTCTGGTAATATATCGATGCTTCGGAGGTGGGGTTTGGTTCCGGAAGCGGGAGTTCTGTTTCAACGTCCAGTCCGGATGAATCCATGGGCGGAAGGTCTTGGTCTTGCGAATCGTCTTTCGAGGGATCAAAGTCAAGGTCATCAGTTGCATCAGGGTCTCCTTCGACGGGCTCTGGGCTTTTGGGAGAAGCAGGAGCGTCGGGTAAATCGTCTTCAAGGTCGCCGTAGTCGCTCTCCGCATCTGTCTCGTATATTACCGTCCTCTGTGAAGGCATCGCTCCTTCTTTGGAGTCTAGAAGCCCAGGACTGCGATGTAGACGAGCTGGTTTCGTGGGCGTCTCTGCTTGATCGGCCGATGTTTGATGAGGTGTACCTTCTCGACAGGAAATTGGCGAGTTTAGATTGCCAGATTCCGGCAATATATCGTTAGGAAACAGCAACATCGGCTCTGAATCTTGGTGAGGTTCTTCTTTGATGCGATGCATCATCGTAGGTGATTCTTCCTTGATACGCCGATCGGGAATGCTGACAGGTACATGCTTTTGAGGAGAACGAGTGGCGCCGCGGAACTGAGAAGATGTAATTATTGCAATACCAGGGCTCTCGGGAGACTGGGACGAGGGTATCTCCTGTTTGAAGCGTTTCTTTGGTGTCACTGGAGCTTCGGTCGCTCCCCGATCATCCGTAGCTTCCGCAGTCAGCGTCGCACCTTCTTCATCCTTGATTTTCCGTGCCTCGCGTCCATTTGAGTTGGATTGACGGTCATCCTGTTGTTGGAAACTCTCGGGATCCCGAGAGCGCATTTGCTGGCTATCCTGGCCATCGCTCTTTTTAGAAGTAATGTAAGTATAGTCCAACTTCACGTCATCGTCCGGTTCGATCTTCAGATAACGTCGCACGTAGTCCATTTGAGTTAGAGTCTTATGTCCTTTCGCCTTTTCCTTGTCTTTCTTGCTGATATTGCTGCCCTCGCCGCTTTTTCTGCGCTTTTGTTTCAAGTCGCCGCCACCCTGGGAGCTCCTCTTTTTCGGCTTGGGAGCGGCATTCTTTGCACCTCGTTCGAACTTGACTCCACGAATGTCAGCCGGCTTCGGCTTCAAATGCGATGGCGGTTGGTAATCGGCGTCATTGTCGGAATCATCATCAATCTGGATCACCTCAGGATCTGCCCGTCGCCTGCTGCGTGATTTGCTGTCGATGTAGTCGAGATCATCGTCATCGCCATCAGACCCCGTGTACTGGGACTTTGGCGTGACGAAGCCAATCTGCGTAAGTGTGGGCTGATCCGGCAGACCGGGAAAAGAGTTTCTCTTCCAGGATCTCGACGTCGATGCAGAAGACGCAGGGAGCTCTGTCCTGGCTAATGCTGCCTTGGCCGCGTTGGTCTCTGTTGCCGGACGTACTCTAGGAGGCTTGTCTGGTGTCTGAAATTGTCCCTGACTAGTCGTGGTGCCGGTTATACCCGTACTCTCACCTTGTCTCATCGCAACTCAGAATGGTCAGTGTCGTAGGTGAGTCTGCGGAGAGCCATAGGCGTTGCACGAGTCGATGGCCTCGGACGCAAGCTCGTGGCCGATTAGATCAATGCGGACCGCGTTAATGGATTGATTCCTCAGTCAGCCAATTCGCGTCACGCGTCGAGCCCGCCATCGCCTGGTCCGTGCGTTTAGGCAACAAGGCAACCACATGGCTGTTGCTCATACTCCGCCATATTACTTTCTGGTTTATACTTCGCACGCGGTTTCTGACGGATTTGGAATTTCCTTCTGTTGTCGTTCAACAGGACCCGAGAAGCCCTCTATTAATACCGAAAAGATACCAACCAGCTACCATGGCCTACCCGGCCTGTACCAGCCCTAAAGCCCATGATCTTGCTGCGCTACTAGCAGAGACTGCATAGCAACCAAATCTCAGCTAAACAGAGAGCCAGAGCAACAGGGGAACGAACCAGCGGAAGAGCAGGAAAAGGAACCGTGAATGCAGCTTGGCCATTTGACACATAATGGCCGACTCTCATTGGCAGACCAGCCATCCATGCTTGTTCAACTTACCCATGCTGCCGATTGAGTTCAGTATTGCGTCACTACAAGGACTTGGGGGTGCACCAACCCATCCACCTATCTAGAATGATGAACTCTTCCATCCTTACAAGCACTATCAGCGGTGGCAGGATCACCTCTACTAACCTCTACTCATCAAGAATCTCCAGTTGAATTCAACCCCATTCCCTCCTCCCAGAAAGCCCGCCGAAAAGCGCACGCCTCACACACTCCGCCACCACGAGCCCCAGATCACAGGAACCATGCTCACGAGATCCTTGAAACCCAAGGGACCTCTCCGCTGGACACGTCCAGGCCTGCCATACCGGCGGTGCATGGCCCATGTCTCGAACATCTCAGATCTCCCTACAGTGCGTTGCTCAGCCCCATGCCCAGTTCACCCCTATGCCAGGATACAACAGAACTAACCCCTCCCCTATAGGAGGATACCAAACCCTTCAGTGTCCCCATAGCAGACGACAGCTTCGAAACATACAACCTTGATCCACCTCCCTACAGCCTAGAAACCACCAAAGGCCAACTTAAACAACTCTACCATGACATGTCGCTAATAAGGTCTCTCTCTCATTCCCCTTCCCCTCCCTTCCAATCACAATCGTTCTGGACCCCCAAATTAACTTTCCCAGACGCCTGGAACTCGCAGCCGACAAGTTATACAAGGAACAAAAGGTCCGTGGCTTTTGCCACCTCTCCACAGGCCAGGAGGCCGTCGCGGTGGGGGTGGAACACGGCATCAGCCCCGAAGATAAGGTTATTACTGCGTACCGCGCCCACGGATTCACGTTGATGCGGGGTGGGAGTGTCAAATCTATCATTGGAGAGTTGCTTGGTCGTCGAGACGGTATTTGTCATGGGAAGGGCGGTTCGGTGCACATGTTCACTAAGAATTTCTTTGGTGGGAATGGCATTGTGGGGTCGAATGTGCCCCTTGGGACGGGGATTGCGTTCGCGCAGCAGTATGATGATACTAAGAAGGTGACGGTGAATCTGTATGGGGATGGGGCTGCGAATCAGGGTCAGGTACATGAGGCGTATAACATGGCTAAGTTGTGGGAGTTGCCGGTTATTTTTGGTTGTGAGAGTGAGTTCGCATGATATTCTTTATCCTTATTGGTTTTCATGGTTGTTCTTGTGTTGTGTTGGATCACCCTGGATCTCAGTTTCTAATTTCGTGCCTTGTTGCAGACAATAAATACGGAATGGGCACATCCGTGGAGCGCGCTTCCGCCATGACCGAATACTACAAACGAGGATACTACATTCCAGGTCTCCGCATCAACGGAATGGATGTTCTGGCGGTGATAGCTGCAATGAAGTACGGCAAAGACTACGTGTTGGGTGGGAATGGACCTTTGCTGTATGAATTCCAAACATACCGGTATGCGGGACACTCGGTATCTGATCCGGGGACGGCGTACCGGACCAAAGACGAGGTGCAGGCCGAGCGGGCGCATGATCCCATCACGACTTATCGAGAAAAGTTGATTAAATGGGGCGTGTTCAGCGACGATGAGGCGAAGACGATGGATAAGGAGATCCGACGCAAAGTTGATCATGAAGCTCAGGAAGCGGAGAAGATGGCGGAACCACCCTTAACTTCGGACGTATTGTTCGAGGATGTTTATGTTCGTGGAAGCGAGCCAGCCCAGCGGCGCGGGAGAACCGTTGATGAGACATACTACCTGGGCTGATAAGGTGAAGCCACCGAAACTCTAATCTCGAGGGGGGTGTTGCGCTTTCATAGTAGTGAGCTCATAGGCATGTGCCTCGCATAACATACTTCGGTATAGTTCTAGTCTAATTGAACGTCATCATGATTAGCAACGTCTCACATAGTAAATAAAGGGCATGCGGCACTTAGGGAGTTTATAGCTAGTAGACCCTAACCAGACAACGACACGTATTTGCTGCAGACAGGTATCATAACAGCATCGTCCAAATGGCTACCTTGAAGACTCCAGAGAACTGCACCGCAGACTTCTCTCTCATTCCAGTATGTCACCTTTCGTTCCAGTTAGCTTGACGAGGGCAGAAATTGGCTCGGTCGATACCAAGCTCTAACACCCGTGGCTCAGATCGGCTCTCAAAGCGCATCCTTCTCGAAGCAGGTCGCGGATATCCAGCGTCTGATGCAGAACTCTGGTCTCAAGTTTCAGATGCACGCCACTGGAACTATTGTTGGTATGTTTCCGCTCATTCAAATCCCCTTGATATTGGATAGAAATTCTCGTATATGGGCCCAAACTCTGCATGGAGCACGGTGTACGACCTTCCATGTAGCGTTATGATTCGGGGATCATATGCCATCCCACGTTTGCTACTGCAAAGCTAATATATTTGGCTTAAAGAGGGATCGTGGGATTAGGTATCCCAAATCATCGGGTACGCCCATACGCTGATCCACCAGGAAGGGATCGCTAGGATTCAGACGGATATTCGCATCACGACTAGGTGGGTTTTGGTCCTTGGAGTTTTACCCACTTCCCTGGCTGTTATCTCACACTAGTGTATAGGACCGACAAGGTGCAGCCTATGGAGGCCAATATAGCCTCTGTGCAGAGGGCTCTCGCGACTTGAGATGGCCGTGAGCCAACCGTTTGGGCGCTTATAGGAAGATGTGCGTCTTGTTGTGTTTTGAAAGCCTAAGTTTCGGTACAAGTCAGTAATCTAGGATGCCAAGTGAATGATGAACGTTGTTTACAGAAACTCCTCAAATCCACACCTAACTAGCACCATACTCAATTGTTGATATGTAGCCACCCCCTCTCCCCCAATTTGTTCTAGCGAGGAGATACGTAAAGGTATGTAATGAACTGGACGACTCTGTCCCAGAAACCTTGTATGTATCCTAGGATCCCTGTTATGGTCCGAGAGCCCAACTGATCATAGACCAGGATGCCGCTCCTGTGGGATCGACGGAGGAGGAAAGTGAACGAGACGCAAGAGGGGAGGAGGCTAATTAACCTGTGACAGCGTCTCCTGCTGTATCCTTGCCCATCACCGTTTTGGCCCACTGCACTACAGTGAGAGGTGCATCTCATCGTCGTGCTCCGGTGAGAACGATCAAGTTCGGGCGTGCGTATCTAGATGCAGACCGCGTATTAGCGGCATTCGCTAGATCTATTTTAGAGCGTACCGGCCACAGGCAGGTGTCCTATCATCGCGATGATGGCGGGGTAAATTGAGTCTGGATTCATTCACATGGTCGAAGTGAGCCTTTTTCTTGCGTTAGTATCATCTAACCCGAGGTTTCCCGAACATCAAAGCAAGATTCCTGCGGTAATTGGCAAGAAAACCAAATGCAACTAGCTGGGAGCTCCTGCATCCCGGTGGATACGGAAGGAGGGGAATTTGTTGCCTGGCAAAGTGGGAGGCATGCAGCCACGCATATCGACTTCACAAGATTGGTGTTGTTGGTCAGCCACAACTCTCTGGGAGGCGTTGAGAACAGAGAGGATGAAAGAGGGCCCAGCCACGATAGATCTTGGGGAAGGGACCAACAGATCTCGTTGGCAGAGAGAGATGAATAGATAGCCGTCCCAGGGCCATGGACGAAGAAAGCCAGGGATAAGGCACGGTTGCCAGGACGGGGCTTAGCCTGGACGAGCGCATCGAATGAAGGATGAGTTTGGGGGTGGAGAAGTTCATCTGGCGGATCCTTCCATGGCTGGAAAAGAGGTGGAAATTGGGAATTGGGAATTGGAAATTGGGAAAATGGGGACAAATTATTGACTTGCTGGCCAGTCATGCCTCTTGCCTGTTCGGGACTCGCTGCGATTCGACGCCTGGGCGACGCTGGAGTTCAATCTGTTGCTTACTTAGTGCCGTCTCTCGTCCTCCAACCAGTCCACCCAGAATAATGGAGCCACCCATTGCCCTGATGCTACTATCCCCAGGAGGATAAATACTTTGTATATATGCAGAATAGAGAAAGGTTGATGGTATTAAGTCCAAGGGCTTGAAGACCCAAGCCTGAAAAAAAAAAATAGTATTGCATTATAAAAATGAAGCATGGTGAGAGTTTTGAGCTAGCCCTTTCGATTGTAGGGGACCAAATCAAAAGTACGGAGCAGGAAGAATTTACCATGATGACAGAACGCTGTCAAGAAGGAAGGATTTTACCATCCAGATAGAGACTTCTCTTACACTGGTCTTCATATTCCTGGGGGAGGCAAGATCTGCAGCGTAAGCGTTCAATTTCTTAGAGATGTCCGGGCATGAATGGCTGCTGGGGATAGTAATCCCGGACGCCCGAAACCAAACTCTCCGGTCCAAAAAGGTCTCTCTCCTTCCCCCCAAAGTCTTACCTTTGGCCTCTGCAACGATGACACGACCACGGCCTTGGGTTCTGTCTGTCATGCGCGAGACAGCTGGCTAATGCACCCGATCATGTCCCAAGAAAAGCAATCTGGACTCTAGACACTAGAAAGCAAGCCGATGATTCGTTTATCGTTTGGTATTGACGGCCCATAGTGCTAGTAATTGAGTAGTACTATCCAGGGAGCATGGCACGAGCTGAGCTGGCCCGAAACAGATCGTCCGCCAGGCCAGCACACCATCCCATCCCCTCTTACCATCCACACGGACTCGAGATGAAGAAATTCCGCTAAGCTGGCTCTTACTATCCCGGCCTATACGTGCCAGAATTAATCATGCAAGCTGTCTGCAATGTAACATCATTGCTTCTTGCTTTAGGCAAAGGCACATGTAGTCAACTGGAACCAAATCTCCACAACGATGTGTTAGCACCAATATGCAGCTTGTACCTAGGACATGCCTTGCCGGTCTTGGACCGCAGTACTACGGAGGATTGGGGACTGTAAAACGTATTGAAGATCTCTGCTCATGCGTGCAGAGACCTGATTTGAGGACGGCAGAAATCTCTTTAACGCTGCAGTGATAGGAAAGGAGGGCCATTCCATGGAACCTGGTTGGTTAGTTCATCAATGCACCCAGCACGAAACGGTATCTGCGGTGCTCATCAATTCAGAGGGGAGGGATGCTGCGTCTCAGGCTCAATTTGTGACTGGGTACGGGACAGAAAAATGTCCGGCCTGCTTTGAGATCCGGAGACTAAAACAAGAGACCAAGGCGTTTTCTTCTGCATGGTCGCCTTGGTGAGTCCCAGATCCAGTACGCTGGGAGCGCCGTGACATGGTTACACCCACTTATTTCCAGGCATGCAAGTAATTCCCAGCTTAGCGCGGGAATGTCGCCTCCTCGGAAACATGGTATAGCCTGAAAGAAAGCAGCAGAATACCTGTTGGTTAAAGAGCGAGACAGTTACGAAGGCGTTGAATGAACAATGACCCGACTGTAGCTGAGTGAAACGGAGGATCTGGTGGGAACAGGGGAGTATAATTGGGTATACATGAAGGGAAAGTATCCGCATGCGGAAGTCCGCCCTGTCGACGCCTTGTGGCGGGTGAGAGCGTCCTTGAGGGTGTCGAGGACATCAGAAACCAGTAATTATGGGATCTAGTCTAGGAAGCTCGCAGGACTTGGCATGTCGTTCTCTTCCTCGTTCTTACCTGGCGCAGACGAGTCTTCCCCTATCAGAGCCAAGAATGCGTAAACCATGCCCACCCGAGCTACGGGGCATGCGCGCCGCAGCCCCGTTTGGGATCCCTTTTGTCTCGCGTCACTACTTGGGAGCTCATTGCAAAGCACACCGCGATCCTGACACTGTCGCACTCTGTGATCCTGTTGTACCTGTTGTACCTACATAGACTGTTGCTGTTGCTAAGCTTTGTTCTGGGTAACAACCCACAATAACATTTTGGATTTGTCGTCGTCATGCCATTTGAAAAATTCCTTGACTGAAGTATCATCACCACCATTTTGGGGCCCCCACCGCCGTCCATACACCGCTACAAAGACAGTAGCAGTAATGTAGGATGGATACGTGATAGTCCACTAAATTTTTTTTTGTGTACACGCTGTTCCAGCAGTAATTCCATAGTCTGAAAGTTAGAGGTGCCGAAGACCTTCAGACATTTGCACCGGTCCATGATGTGAAAGACCACAAGTAAGCCGAGATCTCACCCAGTGGAATCTAGTAGTAGGACGCATGCTAGCTACTAGTTGGGAGGAATTGGGGAAGGTCGTTCCAGCCTAGCTGCTATCTTGAATTTATTTTCGGCACCGGCTCGGTTGTCAAGGCCATTGGAAGGAGGGTCGGCTGCAAGGGCCAAACAAGGCCAGCGACCACGGAGACAGAGCTACTAGCTGGCAGTAATACTCAAGAAGAGCCGGACAACGCCGGGTCTTGAGCCAGAGCATCACGGTGATAGCAATTACTTACTTAGGTAGTTAGCAGATCTGACTTGGCTTGGTAAGAGAAGGGAGCCACTCCAGTGACAGGGATCGAAAAAGCCGTTGGAGTGATCAGTCTGATAGTCCACCATGGTGATTGACGGACAATCTCAGCATGCAGTAGCCTAGCCGTCACTATTCTCTCTGAGAATTAGTGAGTGGCACTTGCTAGGCTCTTACGTCCTCTAGTGTATGGAAGTGAGACGGTCTGGTCCTGCCACTCCAGGAGATGGGGCTTTTTTCTTTTTCTTTTTCTTTTTTCTCTTAGCAAAGTCCGCGCCTCCGCTAAAAAGCTCGACCCCCAAATGATCGGAGCAGGCTTAGTCTCACTTGGAGTCCTTCCTTTTCTTCGATGGTGGCCCCCCTCTTGCCTCCCTTTCCACCCCGCTAGGCTAAACCTCTAGGTACGTATCTCTTTTGGACGGCCTCCATCGGCCTCTCCGATAGTCTTCCGTTTCGCTCGGCTCCATCATCCATTCCACTGAAATCCCTGTAATGGGTCAACAGGGTTCTTTACCTAATGTATAATATACGAGGTATAACATTGAATAGCGCTATTCCGAAAAACTGGGACAAATCACCCAATCTCCGAGCAGCAGGGACTCAAGATGACTCGCTATCCTTTCCTGCGGGTGGGACATGCAAACCCAGACTAGCGAATGATGACTGGGGACACTTGTCTCCTGTTTGCTCGTATCAATGGGAATATGCATCATGCAGCGCGGGATCTGAAGAAGACAGATCCCTATGTGCAAGAAAATGGAAAAGGACACATCACTGCTGAGCTCAAGATTTTCCCAGCATTACGCTTCTCAGACCAGGGAAAGCGAGAGGCCATCGTGGGTGTGATGGTATGATGGGCCTCAACGACATCATTCAAGGAAAACCTAAATAGATTAAACATGGCATCGCACGATAAGCTCGGCACTGTAAACCCTGCTCCATGTATACACGACCGAAAAACTGATATTGGCGATGGAGGGACATTCCTATGCTGGCTTCGTTTGACGTGAACTGATTATTCGACGGGGAGGAAAGCGAAGTATTACCCTGACACCAGCGGTATTGTAAGAACAGGGCGATCATCTCATGTATGACCCGGCAAAAAAATCCATCAAGGTACCAGTCAGGCACTTCTCTTACAATAGCGACTGGGTGGAGAGGTGTGTGATGGCTTGGACTTCTAAAATTTAGCCGGCAATTGATGAGAAGAGCATTGTTTATGGTCATTTCTAAGATCCCGACGGAAGGACAGCTCTTGATACCATACACGTATCATTTCCTACCCAAATTACTCGGGAGGCAACTCATCTAAGTAGTCCTTCCGTATCCGTAAGATTGCCCAGATGAGTGTGAGCGCTGAACAGAGACTTTACAATTCATCGAATGCCAGGCACGAAGTTGGTATCTCACTTCCTACAACACCAAGTCTATGCCAATCTCGGATGACGGAGAGGATCAAATTTCAACTTTCATCATACATATCCCAGCTTGAGCTGAGGTACCTGAAGTTATCGCAGGAATGATGAAAACTTTCAACTGCGCCGAGTCTTGATCGACTAGTACCTTCAGGTATGGCATGCAGTAAACTTGGATGATGGGAATCCTTTCCGACACCGAAGTGGGCGGAATCAGTCCAACTGCAGACAATGCACTCTCTTGGAAGGGACTACTATGCTAAGCTACCGATAGGCTAGTATGTTCTCGGGATTGTTAGGACCATTTGGCATTTGCCCAATATATTTTGATTATTACCTTCGTCAGGCTAGTAGCTAAGCAGGAACCTCGCGACCAACAATGCTTCTGCGGGGCGACGATCCAGTCAGAGTCAAACCCGTGCAAGCGACCAAATTCAAATTAACAATGAGACATCTGCGACTGTCGTACGATGTTGGGGAGGGGTATTCATCCCTCCTTTGGGTACGAAAGCCGGGAATGAGTTGGGATGGAAAGTGGTGACTGCCAGTCCAAGCTTAGTAGTCTGCATCATCATTCATACTTGTCGGTGGTTGAAGAACCGGTTTCCCTATGCGGAGTGACCATGTGACTACAATTGTTCGGGTGAGTTGCTTGATTATGCTACTATGTAGTCAGGCCTGGAGCTACTACTAACTAACTGGATATTTTGCTTGCTGTAACTACACCAAACATCTACAATATACAGTACTTACACACACCTGCCAATATTCCCCCAAAAAAAAAGGACATTTGACTCAACAAGAAACTTTCACCCTTCAGAGACGGGAGCTTCCCGGCATCGCTGGAAGTGGAGTGTGGGCCTCATGAATTTGGAATCAAACCAAGGGGAGCAACCAGAAGCTGTCGAGGTCGAGTGGGACAAAAGTGGAGGGGAATTCCGCCGACGAAAAGGTGGGTCAAAAGTATCCCGACAGACTGGATACTGCGGTACCTCCGTCTGCTCTTGATTGATTATCGCTTCTCTTTTTCTTCCCTTTTTTTTCCTTTTTCTATTTTTTCTCTTTTCGTTATTTCTCATCCCAGAGCCACAAAGCTGGTGGATGAACTGAAATCCATGGCCGAAAAAGGCCGGGAAAATGCTGAGACATGCATCCTTAACTGGCTGTCTTCCAGTTAGTCTATTTAACTTTCCTAGAGTCAAAGATAAATTACGCAGGCTTATCTTACTGTGTACTAGGATCATGCAAATGCATGCGCCGCAACACCCGTCTAAATTCAGCCCAGTCGGATATTGGGGGTCGTAGTCCATGGATGCGACTTTCCGGCGGTGCGGCACCAACAACCATTGGATCCCAATTTCGGTTGAAGATCACCCAATCTGCTTCCCCTCTTGGATGATGTATCACTGTGCCATCCCGGAGGTACCGTGGAAGTCTTACTCTTGCACCTTGTTGCACGGAAATCATGCAATTCCCCTTCATCTTCGTCTTCTTTACAGGGGAAGAAAGGCAGCAGCTACAGCAATCTGTGAGACATGTCAGGATTCCAAATGCTTTTCTCGAAGAAAATGTCCGGACCATTCGGGCCGCCACCCTGGGTATGCCGACCAACATTAAGTTATTAACCGACCTTTACCATCTCGACCATCTGGGCCCCTGATTAGCGAGCGTCTTTTAGTCCGATATGCACAGGACTATCAATTTAGTAATAGTGTTTCGCCCCCCGTCGCTGGCTGCTCCCGGCAGCCTGGGACGCCCGTGCTTTTTTTCCTTACCCTTTTCCTTTTTTCTCCCTTTATTCCTGTCGCTATGGATTCTGATTAGTCCGGCAGCTACCCAGTAATCTGGCACCAATACCCAGCGGGAGGGGCCATTATAAAAAGAAAAGCAGAAAAAGGAAGAAACAAGACGGGCCGGAAGGAAAAAAAAAATAGGCAGATCTTAATGACCTACTGATGAATGCGTTGTCAATCTCCCCCGGCCTGGCCGCAATAATTGAACGCTAGTGTATGTCTTCCCCTCATACTGAGGAAAAAAAAAGGCTACCTGATTTGAAACCACGGTCAACTCCGACCTGAAGGAATGGGAGACGATCCTCAAGTCGCTTCAGGTTCAGGTGATCATGGAACCCCTGCCGGGAACCCAAAGGATCGGAGGGCCATTCGTCTGCGGTAGTACCCGTTGTTTCCGAGCGGAAGCTGTAGAAGAAGAGAGAACTTTCCGAAGGGGGTCAAGATGAATTTGATTAGCTTTGTGTTGGAGACAAGAAAAGTTAATTGAGGGGGGGGTTTTTCTCGGTGACGCTCGGCAGGAAGAATGGCCACCACTAGCATGACCTACTTGCGTCTTCCTGCGTCCACCGTACTTCGTATCGGAAGGCAACAATTCAGAGACAAACGGGAAATTAAGCACCTACATACATGGACTACATGCAGCAAGCAACATGCGGGAAGCCCAGCTCTGCGGACATTGGGCCAGCCAGTAGGTAGGTGTGGACGAGGTAGGTATAGTGTCCAAGTGTTCCCAAGTAAGTCAAAAAAGATTAGGATCAGACATTGGATGGGCTTGGGATTCCCACCACCCGAACAGAACCACCCACTCGGTTCACACGAGTAGTAGTTTGGGTGCAAAGTTGGAGTATTCCACCTCTCTTAGTCTATGAATTTTGATTGTTTTCCCCCCTTCGCGCCCGTGGGTACCCCCCGATCCCCTAGTACCCAGTACCTTATAGCGAGTATCTATTACTTTACAGTAGAAACCGCCGCCTAAGGACCGAAAAGTCTTACTGCAAGTAGATAGGGATAGTGTACTACCCTAACTGGGTTGGCCAGCTACTGTGGCCTACCAATCTTTATTTTTGATTTTGCATTTAGTTTTTAAATTTTTTTATTTTTCTGTCTTTTCTTCTCTCCATTTTTATCATTTTTTTTATCATTCTTATTCTGAAATAATATCTTTTTTCTCCCTGTCCAATGGTGTACAATGGCTGTCTCGCAAATAAAAAAGCCCCTTAATTATGGTAATTGTCTGGCCCAGTCAGGGCCAAGAGTTTCTGGTATCTTTCTAATTTTCTTACTTCTATTTAGCTTTGAGGAGGATTAGGTATCTTCCCTCCCCTCCCCCATCCTGCTAAAGTCAAACTTAATCCAACCTGTCGGGTTCAGGGAAGGAGATTGGGAGAAGACAGCCGACGGCCCTCCTCTGCCACCCACTTCTAATGCTACCTACCCACAAATGTCAACCACCCCCCCTGTCCAGCAACAATTATAGACTCCGTAGTGCTGAGGAGAACCTGTCAATCTTAAATACTATATGGCTGGCCCAGATGCTCTCCAACTTTGGAATGACATCTCCGAGATTTTTCAAATCCTATGCCCTTTCCCTCCACCCTGTACAGTAACGGAGAATTTGTAACCCTTCTTCGCCACGACTGTCTCTACAATACTCTGCCACCACCTACTACTACTACCATCTCTGCATACTTCCCCGTAAATACAAACCCTTCTTTTTATCAGTTCCAGGCCATCAAGTCCGTGCTGGGATTGAATTTCTCATACTATTTCCTTATGAGATATCGTTTTTATTTTTAAACCAATCTAACTTACACCCTCGTCGAGCATCCACTGACTAAGTCGCCTTACCGAGCCCTGGGCCTGGATACTACCTACGTACTACCATTCCCACCCCCACTCAGACGCTGGCCTCTTAAGCCCCAGTTTCCCAAGTCCTCTGGTACGCATAATGCCTACTGGTAGATCAACTGTGAGCTCTTCCCTCCTACTTGAGACCCTGACAAGGACCACTCTTTTTTGTTGGTTGTGGTGGTAGTGCTCTTCCTCCAACTCTTTGCTTTTGCTCTTGGTCGCCGTCTACATTGTTTCTTTCGATCCGTTCCCTCTAGTAATAACTAACACACCATGTCGCAGGGATCTAGTCGTGAAGAGTAAGTACTGACTCTCTCAACTACACCCCGAAAATTGAGCTAGAGGTGCAAGAACTGCTTGGTTACTCGCATCTTCGCTTCTATTGGTGGTGTTGGTGGGTGCTAAATGTGACAATAGTGACACGCAGTCTTTGACTGCCAGTGTAACGGATTACCCCATGGAATATGGAAGACGATACCACAAATATCATGAGGGCTGTATGTGCAGGCCTCTTTGACGCTCTCGGAGCCAGCCTCGTCTCTGACTGAATTTCTTTTATTTTATCTAGCATATTTATATCCCAACGACGAGCAAGAGCTAGACCGGATGGACATGCAACACCACATGCTCAAATTGGTCAACCGCGGGCGGCTGCTCTTCGCTTCTCCCCAAAGCCCAAAGAAAATCCTAGATGTTGGCACAGGCTCTGGTATATGGCCTATAGAACTAGGTAAGCGAAAGAAAAGAAAACCACCCCCCCCAACCTCTCCAACTCATCCTACCGGACAGTTTCTCATCGTGTCTCCATCACATGTAGCGTCTGAATTTCCAGCAGCCGAGATTATAGGAACCGACCTCTCGCCTGTACAACCGAACGAAGTCCCCGAGAACGTCCATTTTCTTGTCGATGACGTTACAGAGGACGAATGGCTATGGGGGCCCAACCACTTCGACGTCATTCATGCCGGACACCTTTCAGGTGCCTTGCCATCATATAAAGACTTGTTACGGAAAGTCTTCAAGCATCTCCAGCCTGGTGGCAGTGTTCAGTGCGACGAGTTTGACCCGAAGCCGAAATGCGATGACGGAACCATGCCAGAAGAGGATCCCGACAAGTTCAGTGAATATGCCCTTCAAGACCTTATGGATCTACACCATCGTGCCGGCCAGGCCTCAGACCCGCCCCGGCAGTTTCGAGTGGCCCATCGATTGGCACGCTGGATGAGAGAAGTGGGATTCGAGGACGTTCAGGAACGGGTTCAAAAAGTACCCGTGAATCCTTGGTCTACCGACTCTCATCTGAGAACGATTGGTTCGTGGAACGAGACAAACCTGCTGGAAGCCGCAGCTGGTTGGTCTTACAAGCCACTCACGATTCTTGGCTGGTCGAAGCCCGAGATCGAAGTCTTCCTGGTCGATGTTCGAAAATCCATCCAAAACCGTGATGTCCATGCTTATTTGGACTATTATGTGGTAACAGGAAGAAAACCACGTTCTGTTTAGTGAGGGAGCCCTTGAAGGGTTTCACCACGAAGTTTACGGCTTCGAAAGAAAAGCATCACACAACAGATAATGTTCCTGTTGGATTATCGTTCCTTAGCGTCCATACCTGCCTTTTGGCCTTCACTTTATATCTTCTTTTTCATCATCATCGGGCCTGTCCTCAATTTCATACTTCGCGTTTTCCTTGTGTGTTGGCGAGCATTGGCATAAGATACCATCGACTACAGAGTAACATCATATATGCATGGAAGGCGTGCAGGGGCCCCCTTTTCATTTCCTACATTCTATTTCGCTTTCTCTTCTTGCACATAGTATATGAATTAACCGACATGTGCTGTCAAATCATGCATGATTTTACTTGGTTTGGCCTACAAAGAATAGAACAGGCCGGTGATTTAGACATTTAGTATACCAGAATAGACCAGGAACACGAGCAATCAGCCTCACGACAATATTCCTCTCATCCAGTATCTTACCCAAACAAACATAAATAAAAGAAAATAAAATTCAGAAAATCTCTACTACCTGCAAACCAAACCACTGCACGAACCTCCCAAATCACCACTAGCAACTAGCCTAGTAACTATTAAGCCCAAAGCACGGTTCCCCAATTCGGGGCGACCCGCTTACTCATCATCCATCCAACCCTCTCCAAACTTTCCAAGCTCGATGCAACCAATCCCGCCTTTGCTAATCGACCACATCCGACAGGCCCAGACATCGCGAATTGCTTCAATTCCCTCCACCGCCGTCGCATGCGCCCCGCTACCTCATGTCTCTCGGCAGACATGCCTACAGGCATGCACCATCATCGAATAACCTCCTCGATCACGTCTGGATCAGCGAGGACTTCCTAGCCTCCGCGTTCCGACGTTTCGCTAACGGCCAACGACGCTACGAGAGCCGCGTCCCGGGTCCATTGGAGGCTCGACGACGACTCGCTAAGAGGAGGAATACTGCACTCGCTGGGATTGCGGGGACAGGGCCTTTGGATGATATTGCGTGTTTGTTTGGGCGCAATGGGAGGGAGCATATGAAATGGACGACCACGACGGAGGGGAGGAAGGCGAAGGGTGAGTGATCGAAGCTGTTGGCTTTATGTTGGTGGAGGATTCTAACGGTGGTGATTGTGTTTGTAGGTTCGCACTTTTATCAATTGAGTACCCCGTCGCCGTCACCGCCGCCGCCGCCTCCGATTCCGACACAGTCTGCGCCGGTGTATAATGAGGGTGGTAACGTTGCCGGTGATGAGTTTGAGTTTGGGAGGCCGGATATGCCGCCGGAGGGGTCTGATGAGGTGTCGCGCGATCAATATGTCAGGAGACGGTTGAGGGAGTGTCATACCGTTGAGTCTGTTAAGAGGGTTATTCGGCAACTGGATGTTGATCTTTTGCGAGAGCCGGGGTATAGTCGGTTTATATTCGACCACTTGTTGTCGTGCTCGAGGAGGGGGGAGGTGGCTGTTGATGAGCTGGTGTCGTTTCTGGATGATCCGCAGCTTAATATCCGCGGAGCGAGGAATTATTTGACCGCGGTCGAGCATATCGCTTCGCGTGGAATAAGGCAGGGTAAGCGGCACCCGCTTTTCGACAATTTCGTCCAGGCTCTGGAGCTTGGGCTTGTTCCGCCTGAGGAGCTGTGCGCTGTTATAGAGGCTGTTGCGAAAGCAGTACCGGCGAAGGGTGAGAAGAAGAGACAGTCCCCGGATACGGTCACGGCAATGTACCGGGCGATGTGGGATGCAATTGGACGGTGTGATATCTATGGGCACGGTGATCTCGATGAGGGGATCATTGATGCGTGGCTTGGCGCTTTATGGGAGAGGGATGTCTGCGAGGACTTGCCCTTGGCGAAGAGCATGCTCGTTGCTGCTCAGGAACTGGAGTCGGCATGTTGCTCGTGGGCTACGTTGTTTATCACGCGCTGGCTGGAACTTCCCAGAAAGCTGCGAGCTGGCGCTGGTGAAGTCTACGCGAGTGACATACTGAGCAGTTTCAAGCCGGATCTTGCAACAGCTGCTGTCATATCGACAACCGAATTTCTGGCGTTGAACAAGAAAGACCTGCTTAGCCGGTGGCATGATCGCTTGTTGCAGGCTCAAGAGATCCCGCAACTTGTTTCATCGAAAGCATGGCTTGATGTTCGATCGCAGCGCGATGTAACAGAGCCAAATATCCCGCTGCAACATCAGATCATCTTACGCATATGGGCTTTACGCACTCTCAGCAAAGGCCTTTCCGACGGGCCTCTATGGAGGAAGAATGTACGAGCCACAGATGTGCCCATAAGGCGCCTCTTCGGCCTCTACGAGTCCATCAACAAGACTGAGTCCAGCGAAGACTTGCTAAGCAGCCTAATGCAAGGCATCCATGACCTTGGGCTACCAGCCAACGGCCTCCTCATACTAGTCGTCGACCTGAAAGCCCGCAACGCCCTCACCAAATCTACCCGACGCACCCTAACCAACATGGAAACATCCGCATCCAACGCCTCCTTCGCCAACATCTTCGCCAGCCTCGACGCCTACAACGCAACCACTCCCCACTTCTTCTCCAAATTCGAACAAATGACCCGTCAAATCGACATCACCTCACCGGACTTCATCTCCCATGGCCTCGACCTCGCCCGAACCGGCGACTCCCGCAGCGTATGGACACTCATCCGCCTCCTCCGCTCCCACACCCCTCTCAAAATCGCCCTTTCCAAATCCTGGATCCCTATACCCGATCCCTCCGAAAAAGCCCTCGTGCGCTACTACCCCGACCCCAGGACCAGCGACTGTCCAGACCCGCACGCTGCTCTAGAGATGATCCACCTTCTGGCGGTGTCACTCGCGTGCTCGAAGCGCTTGAGTCCGCGCCGGTCCTACAGTCTCGTGCATTGGCTGTATGTCTTCCTGGTGAAGCATAATGCGCCTGTCAAGCCGGCGATTGCACGTGCTTTGTATCATGCGGGTGTTGAACGCTTTCGGCGCGAGGGGTTACGTGTTTCGCTTACGCAGTATGCATATATCTATGATGTTGTGGAGGAGGTCGAGGGTGCGGATGTCGTTGAGGCGCTTATGGAGCCGCCGAGGATTGGACATCGGTTTTCTGGGGAAGAAGAAGGGGAGGGTTGTTCTGAGTACGAAGAAGTGCGATGAGGTGTATTTTAGATACCTAGCCTGGTCTGATACACCAGGATTGTATACTACTAGTATAAATTATAGCGACTGAAGAGGAAATATCATTGCCTCTGGCGTATCTACTACAGCTCTACGTGAGTATAACTTTTCGAATCGTTCTCAATTCCAACAATCATAATGGCAATTATTCATGCGTGGGCCCATATTTAGGATAAGATAAAGCGAGCCCGACAAAACCAGTAGTAGTAAATAAGAACCTTTCTTTGCTCTAGTCGTTACAACAACAAATAACAACACATCACTTAGACATCCACCTCCATCAAGTTAGGATCACCCGACGCCTCCTCAACAGAGATATACTTCCGCATATCCTCCTTGCTGATGATCTTCTGGTTCAAATAAGCCGTGGTACCCTTAGGGAAGCGGTAATTGCGCTCCTTCTCGCCACGCTCATTAGGCTTGATGTAGTTGCGCAGCAACTGCGTAGGCTTGTCCTTCTCAATGACACAAACATCGACATTGCTACCAGATCCCAGATCGTTAAAGATACCAGCCTTGATGGCCTCCGCGCACAGGGCGATCGCACCCTCACGGTCCAGGTTCGGCTTCCATGTCGACTCGAACACGGACATCGCGGCCAGGGAACCAGATCCCATGGTCACGTAGGGAAGCTTGTCGGTGGAACCGTGGGCGTGGACGGTGAAAAGACCAATGCCGGTGGGGTCGACACCTGCCACGACTAGGTAGGCGCCGATGTGGCCTTGGTATCGGAATAGGTGCTGCTTCAGCATCGTCATGCAGGTGATTACGCGTGGGGGCCGGCCCGTCGAAAGTGAGTGCAGTTCGATGTTCGAGCTGATCAACGCCGTCGTGAACTCGGTGTCCGCGGCCGTTCCGGCTCCCGCGCACCAGATCTTGGGCGCGATGTAGTGTAGTTTCTCGCAGTTCTGGAGGTGTGGGGATATGTGTGTTAGTTGTTTGTTGAGTTGGGGTGGTTGTGAGTGCCCGGGGAGGAGGGGGAACGGGTGTTTACCTTGTCTGCTACTATCGGGCCGCTGGTGGCTCTGGTATCTGCTGCAATCTGTGGTTATGCCAGATGTGGTGAGTTCGTGATCGTCGTCGTGGGTACTAGGGAGCTTGTTGGGCTGCTCCGGAGGTACATACCACAACGCCATTGTCGTATATACATCCCACAATGGTGGTACCGGTACTGGTGGCCTTGGGGAGAGGAACTCCCTTCGCGTGGAGCGCCGCGTTACGGTTGTAGTTGGAGAAATCGAAGCCTGTCATGGTGACGGCGTGGAGAGGTGATGTACTGTGAGAGGGGCGAGGAACAGCAGGAGCTGGGAGAATTGAAGCTCAGTTGAGATGAAGAGAAGCTGAGGATTGACGAAGAAAGATGAGATATCGGCACAGATGACGGGGGAAGAGCAGGAAGCTATAGCAGGACGGAGAGAGATGGCGGAGGAGGAGCTGCGAGTTGATGGAGTGACGAAGCTCCGGGCGCCTGATCGCGGCGGCCTCAGGCACGTCACGGATTAGCTAATGAGCGAGCAATTCCGCTGTTTTTGTCCGGCTGGGAATCTGGCGCCGAACTCCATCTCCATTCTTGTTGCGTTGCTCCTGCATTATCGGCAGTCATTGACTGTGCTGTTATTTCTCTTTTCCTTAGGGTCGTTGTGAACCCCGTCCCTTTCATCCCACTTCCTTCCCTCGAGGGGAGGTGGTCAAGATTTTTGCGCGCACCTGGAAGCTCTTCAATCGGAGTCCTCAAGCACTCCAGCGTCGCTCCTTTTCATCTTCGCCGCAAAGTCCACCTTCTCCCCATGCTCCAAAGACTCGGTTATCTCTAGGCGACCGTCCTCGTTCAATCTCG